TAAAGAATTTGTTCAAATTCCTGTAGCAAGCCATGGGTAAAACAAGCATCATAATTTTAAATCCCAGTGCTGCTATGGAGTATTTCTACAAATCCACTCCTCCTCTCATTATAACAGATGTCCCCAAAGACTGTAACAATGGAAGATGGGAAAATGCAAATTTCCTTTGGGGGTGGAAATAAAACAAACTAAAGAGGAAAGTCATGCCTCACTGCCGAGGCTCATATAAACATCATCCCCTTGTGTCTCCCTGGACTGACAACACAGGATACAGCCCATCTGATAAGCTGTCAACAGATGGCTGATCCCTCATTGTACCTATTACCTACAGATGCCAATTCCAAGCAGGAACAGTAATCAGTGCTCCAGACAACAGATGGGGAACGAGGAGGTGTATCTGCTCTAAAGTCAAGAGGGAAAGTAAAGAGCCTAGTTTTCACCTCCATCAGGTTTTCTCTGAAAGAAATCCATCACGTGGTATCTGGAATACATCAGTGTGAGCTGCAAAGAATTACCATCAAAAGCTCAGGAGTTTCTGAGTAGAGGCCAATCACCACCTTTACCAAGGAGGTAAGAAAAACCAAACAGGAAACACAAAGCAAGTAAGCCATATATGATGAAAAATCAAACTCTAAAATATTATAAGGAAGACAAAAAAAGGAATAACAATGGCTAACTAAAAAAATAATAGGGTTCAGTACTACTGGCCAAAAAAACCCCAACCATCTAGTGACTCAGAGCTAAAGGGTCAATAGCACCAATTATTACTTGCCAAATGTCCAGCTTGGATACAGCCTGTTCTATGTGCACAGACATGGAGGGTTAAATGGCATATGCTACACCCAGCTAAGTTCAGTAGTTAATCAGGAGATGCTGGCACAAACACACACAGAACTTACAGGAACTGGACAATTAAACAAGACATGCAAAATAGGATCTTTTCATTAAGACAAATTACAACCTAACTGAGCTCACAAACTTCATACCACTAGTTTTTACATTAGACAAACTACATAGAGTTTTGTTTTTGATTTGAGAGTATTTTGCTATACAGCCCAGGCCGGGCTCCCACTGAGTAACACAGTCTAGTTTTGAACTTACCTTCCTGCCTTAACCTCACCGCCCAAGTTCTGGAATTACAGGCAGATACCACCACTAAGGTACCACCACTACACCTAGCTGAGAATTTTAATCCTTCCCATAAAAAACTACATCTTTACAAGAATCTCTCCTTGCTTGCTTAAGCATGGTTTTCTTCTCACTGTGGCAGCTCAGATCTAAAGCCATCCACCTATGCCACTAGCTTGGCAGAGATTTTTAATAAGCAGCACAATTTTAGCCATATCTGCTAAAATCATGAGCAAAAGGAGACTGACTGGCTATGCTTTAAGAAATTATCACTGGTATGTATGGTAGAGACCATGGATATTTAGCAAGGTTTTAATTGTGCTATGCTAACCTTCACACTAAGTATGAAAACCCCTAAATATTTTCAGCTATGAGATGGTGCTACAGCAATCCTAGAGCCATATCAATATACAGTCCTAGACGTGTGAGAAATCAGACAAGACCAAAAAGAAACCCAATAGCAGGAAATCGGATCAGGAACAGAATTCAGATACAACTTCTGCATTTCCTTACCCTACTCCCGTTAGAAGTAATCAAAGTCAGCATGGCAGTGACTAACCCCTTAGAAGTAATCAAAGGCAGCATGGCCGTGACTAAGGTCTGTGTACAAGGCTTTTGGAATGAATATTTGCAGACTGAAAAATGGTGGGCCAAAAGGTAACAAAATTCCCTCTGAATTCTCTACTTACTAGCTAAGCAGTATCATCCTTGTGACAAACTTACATCCACTCTGAGGAAGAAAGCCATACGTTACTGCTGCATTATAGCCTAATTTGACTAATTCATTTTTAAAACACTTCTTTTTTTTTTTTTTGGCCGGTCGTGGGGCTTGAACTCTGGGCCTGAGCACTGTCCCTGCGCTCTTTAGCTCAAGGCAAGCCCTCTACTGCTTGAGCCACAGTGCCACTTCCGGTTTTCTAGTGTTTATTGGAGATAAGAGTCTCACGGACTTTCCAGCTGGGGCTGGCTTTGAACTTCGATGCTTAGACCTCAGCCTCCAGAGTAGCTAGGATTACAGGCATGAGCCACCAGCGCCCGGCCAAAACACTTCTTTATATTCTATCTCGCCCTTGAAAGAGACAAGGTCATAGGAAACATTTTAACATGCCTTTCTTCAGGCCTAAGCTTATCTATCACAACCCTAAATAAGATAAATGCGTATGAGAGTGCTTTATAGATAGTAAAGTGCTAAATAAAAGTAAGGTATTATTAACCTCACCTACTCTCATTAGTCACTGCTACAATGTGCCAACCATCTGTTAATTTTTTAAGCACTCACATCAACTTTAAAAAAAAATCCATACATTCCTACTTGCAGGGAACAGCCACACAAAGGGTATAGAATATCAAAGGCTAGGTTCCCCTCCTTCCCCCCTCTCCCCCCCCCCTCGCCTACACACGCGCGCACGCGCGTGCGCGCGCGCGCGCACACACACACACACACACACACACACACACACACACACACACACACACACGGTGATAGAAAGCAATGTTTTGGGATAAAGGACAAAGGAATATACTCCTGGTAGGGCTCAAGAATTTCTCAGCATGACTCTGCTCCCTTCCCTCAGTGTTTAAGCTAAGTGCAGGACAGGAGAAAAACCACAGGTGTCAGAAATCAGTGCAAAGTCTCCCAAACATACATCTAAGTGCTATCATCCTCTGCATGTGTAAGGCTTACTAGAAGCCACAGGGATCACAACATACATGGGGGCTGGCTACCTGACATCCACAGAGAAAACACTAGTTTTAATAACATTCATGGAAAAGACACTGGTTTTCTTTTTCCACAAAAGCTGGTCAGAAAGAAAGGCCTTCAGAAGAGCTCTCTGACATATCTTCATCTGCTGCGTATGGAGAAAAGAATCACGGAATGTGTACTGCCAAAAACCAAGAGTACAGCTCTGCATCATTCTGCAGATGAGCAAACTGAGACCCAAGAAGTGCTCTTTTCCCAAAGTCACATAACTCATTAATGCTAGCCTTAGGCCTCCTAAATCTAAAAGCCTCTTAAATCTTCCCTCTAAAATCACGGTGCTGCCAGATTTGAAGTCATCACAGCCACAGCAGCCCTTGAGATTGAATTTAGTTCTTTGTTGACCTTCTAGATATGTGGTTGCCAGAGGCCTCAAGACCCCTTTGTAGAAGGAGCACCTCTGACCCTCACCACCTGCCACCCTAAAAAAGCACTCCTGTGCAGAGAGCCTTCCACAGCAGCGGCTGAGATGTGTTTTTTCTGGGTAACAAAAAGCCCATTCATAAACAAGAAAGAAAGAGGACTGGCTCAAACTTACACAGAAGGTCTAGCTGGGCCAGCCCTGGATTTCCTGTGAATGGCATCACTTCCCAAGATGCCCTCTCTGAAACAAAAAGACTGCCCATTCCATCTCCATTCCATGCTTATAGCCACCCAGTCAATAATGCCTCATCATTCAAGCGATCCACACCTCCTTGCCACATGTGCATACTGGGAGAGACCACAGGTCATTTACTACATTTTACAGATTAGGAAACTGAGGCCAGGGATGTGCCACCAAACATTAGTTCCTAGGAACACAGTTGCTAGCAAGTCTCTGAGCCATGAATAGACAGTACAGTGCTCATCTGCCTCTCTTGCCTTGCCTCAGGGCTGTCCCACCACCCACTACCACCCTCAACTTGAGACTGACAGCCTGTTCCAGATGCTAATTCATCTGCTGGATGCAGGCAAGTGACCTATCACTAAGCTCTAGTGAGGCAGTAAAATTGAGATAACAATCTTAACCTCCTGCCCCATATAAGGTTGTCACAAACTGTCTACAAATATAAAAGCAATAAAGATGCTAATGATAGGTTTCTAAATTGCCCTTAAATAAAACCCACCAGTTTTCCACAGGCTGAACTGTAAAAAAGATGGAATCACTGTCCCATGCTCCCTTTTTTCCTCTTCTTCTTCCTCCTCCTCCTCCTCCTCCTCCTCCTCCTCCTCCTCCTCCTCCTCTTCGTCCTCCACCTCCTCGTCCTCCTCCTCCTCTCTCTGCACAGGCTGAGTACTGAAAAGCAGTTTCACTCTTGGTCTTCACCCAGATTATTTTTCTGTATTTGGAAATTTCTCTTTCAATCCCTTTTTGTTTTCCATAGCATAGCTAATAGCTAGAAGTTTGGAAGATAAAGAAATCAGTTCTCTGATCACCCCTGGAGACCAAATGTGTGATAAGATGGAAAGGTTCCCAAAGAGTAAGTAAATACCCTTTCATCAGAGATAGGAGATAGAGATCACCAGCTCCACATTCCCCAGTGAGCCTGGTCTGCTTTAGAGAGCTCCTGGTAGGCGTCTGGGGTTGCTGTAGCACCTTAGAACTCAAAGACCTCGCTCACCCTAAGATCATAAATTTCCAAATGAAAGTCATTAACAGAAACCCGTAAATTATTTCCCCAAAATACCACAGTGAAGATAAGGAAGCTTACATGACCACCTCCCGGGAAGGAATAACACTAGGCCCCTGAGAAATTAAGTACTGGAAAAGACAAGAGGGCCGAGCCACTGAAGTGATTCAGAAAGGGCACCTGGCTGGGGCTGGACTTCCTGCTTGGGGAAGGCCAGGCAAGGGCAGCACTGGAAAGGTGGGAGGGGCTTGGGGCTTGCATGTTGCCCTTCTAAGGTTCACACACAAGCTTCCTCACCTCCACTGTGGCGCTGACACTTGGTGCAAAAGTGAAAAAAAAAACAAATCTGAAATTAACACAAAGGTAACCACTAACTGGAAAATCATTTTTAAGGGTCCCATTTTCCATAGGGATGAAAGAAGTGTATCTACACTGTGGAGCTTCCTGAGCACACAAATGAGTCTTATCACTTAGGCTGCCCAGGAAAAAGTCAACAGACTCACATGCATCATGGTGACCAGGTGACAGGGGTTGAGCAGGTAGATGACGGTCCTGGTGGCGAACTTAAAGCCCACCTCTACCCCGAAGGTCAGGCACAGGGCTACTAAGAGCAGATTCTTGCTCAGGCTCTCCTTGCCTTCCTCTGGCCGCTGGGTCACCTGCTGTGGCTGGCTGCCACGGCCACCCCTACCGTCCTCCGTTCGCCTCAGGATGTGCCGCAGGGCCACCAGTATCTCCAATAGGGCCAGAGTCAGAACCACCACACTTTCCAGCAGCCGCTGCTGCCAAGAGAGGAAGGCAGCACAGTCGGGGCCCCCATTGCCTGCAAAACTGGGGTCCACGCCCCCATAGAGCCAGTCCAGGAGACTTTCGTAGCTATACCGGGACATGATGTAAAGTGGCTCTTGACCACCGTGCGGGAAGCAAGAGCGAGATGGAATAAGAGCTCAGGGTCGCCTGGGTGGTGGTACATGTAAGGAGGGCACCTCCCGCCACCCACCTCCCTTCGGACACCGGGGCACCTAGAGCAAGAAGGGATGGGCAGCTACACGCAAGGCCCGGGGTAATGTGCTGGATCTAACTTGTCCCCACGGCTGTCTGGGGGAGCCCCCCGCGCTTCTCCAGTGGCCACCAACGAGGCAGGGTTGAAAGGAGCCGTTGGCCAATCTAAAAGGAAGGAGAGGAGAAAAAAAAAGGTCTCAAAGAGGCAATTGCATCGGGAATTAACGAAGCAGGGAGGGGTAACTAGCATGGGCAAGGAAAGGGGAACCGGGGTAGTGGCAAAGCAAGCAGGGGTTAGGGAAGCCAGACGCCGAGAGGGTAAGGGTGGAGGCCGAGGGGACCCGGCACTGCCGAGGGTGCAAAGTGGGAAGGGGAGGGAGGCCAACAGGGTGAGAGCAAAGGGACACGCGGAGGCTAGGAGAGGAGCCGGTAGGGCCAGACAGGCAGGGAGGGCGACAGGGATGGCAGGGGTGCCGGACTCCACGTCTCACGCTCTGCTCAGAGAGATCGCTTACTCCTGCAACCGCGTGGCCGTCTCTGTCCCCAGCTAGCAACTTCGCCGCGGACGGCCCCTCCAACCAATTTACAGCCGTCCGGGTCGGTCCAGCCTCCCGCCTCCCGGGTACACCCCCGAGCCCCCAGCTCCACCCCCGGCCCCAGACGCCAGCCCTCCGAGCAGCACCACCCTCCGCCCGAGGCCCGCCCGGGACCAGCCCCCCTCTCCCTGGCAGCAGCAGGAGGAAGCGGAGAGGGAGGGCGGAAGGCTGAGCCAGCCCAGAGCCGGGTTGCAGCGGCCCCCACCCTCCGCCCCAGCACCGCGGTATCTTCCCGCGCCTCCCGCCCCGGCTCCAGGGACGGGCCGCCGCACCCCACGGGGGCTGCACTTACCGGCAGCCTGACCCCGCGGCCCAGGCTTGGGCGCGATCGCTCGGTTCCTTGTGCTCTCTGCGCCCCAGCACTTCGCTCCTCAGGCGGCCGGGGCCGCAGCCACCGCTGCCACCACCGCCTCCGCGCAGGGCTGCACCTCCCCGTCGTCTTCCTCCCCCCCCCCCCCCAGCAGCAGCGGCACTAGCTTCCTCCTTCTTCCCCTCCCTCTCTCCACCTCCTCGCCGCCACCTTCCCCCCGCCCTTGTCCCTCCCCACGTCCAGTTCAATCTCCCTACCACCTTCCCACACGTCCTCAGGCCACCAAAACTCCGCCTTGCCTGCCCTGCGGGGTCTCCCGCAACCCCCCCTCCCAGCCCCCCTTTCACCGTTCACACTTCCCTGCCAAGCTCCTCGGCCCTCCCCCTCCCACCCAGTTGCTTCCCTCCAGAGACTCAATCTCCTCCTCCTCCTTCTCCCCCCTCCTCCCCCTCCCCCTCCCCCTCCTCCTCCCCCTCCTCCTCCCCCTCCTCCCCCTCCTCCTCCTCCTCCTCCTCTGCCGACGCTGTCGCCTCCGCCTCCTCCTCTTCCTCCTCCTCTTCCTCCTCTGCCTCCTCCTTGTTCTCGTGGCCTGCCTAGTCTTGTCTCCTGCACTCTGAGCTTGCACGCATGCACGACCGCCCTACCCTTCTTTGCCACGGTGACACAAGTCGCCTCCCCTAGGGGGAAGCCTGGTTAACCGACTCCGCCTCCAGTGCCCCGCTTTTCCAGTCACTTCTTTGGACACTGGCACATAGTAGGCACCCAGCAGTCCTCACTAACTTCTGGCAGAACGCAGAAGACTGGCGCGTGTGGAGAACTGCAGCGGGGCAAGCTTGGCTTTGGGGGTATTGCTGAGACTGGCTTTCTAAACCCGTCCCCATTTTATCTGCCGCGAAATGGTAGATTTACTTAAAACCACGAAAGTGAGGGTGTCATCTCCCACCCTTCTTAGTCATGCCCTACTCCCCCACTTCGTGCCTGAGCTTCCTTTTCCTGCTTCTCTCCCTCCAGCTCAGGTTTGTGTTTTTCTTTCTACCTCCAGCCACACAGTTCAGCGCTGCCCGTCCTCCACCCCACCCCTTTCCCCTCTCTCGGGTCGCGCCTTTTGTGGGAGACTAACAGGAGGAAACGCAGCTTCCCCTGACCTCTTTCCCTCCTCCCTCCCTGGGAGAGAGCAGCTGCTTCCTAACACACACATGTAAAGGGCATCCAGGACAATGTGAGTGCTGTCCAGGAGCAGGGTCTCCTCTTCACAACTGCTTTCCACCTAGCACTGGATTTGATTTGCTTGGGACAAGGAAATAGGAAAATGACTGCATAGGAATCCACCTCATGTTGCTTTTATATTTATTGAGGACTCACAGTAAGAATACCCAGCAAGACACTATTAGGCACCTTGCCTAGGAAACACTTTCAGATATTGGCAGCCAACTAGGTTCAAAACAAAATATAATCAGGCTATTGCCCTCCAGTCCTTTCCAAGTCTAGCTTTTTTCTGACAAAGCTACATACTCTTGTCTAATGCCAAGCTTTGTGCAGCATCTACCATAGGTATGATAGTCTTCGGGTGCTAATTAAGAAAGAACAGCAACAAAGAAAAATTAATTCAGAGGCTCATTCTTTTGTTCTCCTTAGATGTTTAGGTAAATCCTCAGCAACATAACAACGAGATCTCCTGGCAATGGCGTGTAGCATCTGGAGACCTCAATTCCTATTTTCCCAGAAGTAAGAATGAGCCTATAGCACTCCTTAGTTTGCAAAATGACTGTCTTTAATGAGTATAGCTAGGCCAATTCTTTTACCTGAACCACAATTTCCTCTTTTTTTCTGGTAAATAGCAAAGTGTTATTAGGATTTAGATTCTAACTTATCCCATTTATGCCAGTTACTTGCTATGTCACCTTGGGCAATTTACACAACCACTCTGTATCTCTATTTCCTATTTAATAATTGAAAGATAGTATTGCCTGCCTGCTTCATCTACTTTGTAGGGCTGTGCACATTTAAGTGAGTTGAATTTTACAGAACATTATGTAGTATCTTGTGCATACACATTAGCCACTAAATGCTACCTGTTGTTAGATAATATGTACATTTGCAAGTGAGCTTATGTATATGGACACACACACACACACACACATACACACACACACACACACACACACACACACACAAATCCAACGTTCTCCTGGACATCTGCATAAACAATCCTACACAACTTTCAAAGCTTGTGGAAAATCATACTCTTCCCAATTCCCTACCCAGTTCCCAGAGTTCCCTCCCCCCTCCAAGAGTCTATAGCATTTTTTGACCACTACTCATTTTATTCTGAAATACATACTGTCTTCCATTCTTCTCTCTTTGTGAATCCTGCCTCCCATACTCAGCTTTTTGAAAGCAAGGTAAGGGTCTTAATTTGTTCTAAAAGTCCCCTTCAACACCTAGCATATTAAACATATAGTAAACATTAAATAAACACCAGGAGACTGTTGTCCCATAGTTATGAAAAAGGAAAGAAAGAACTGAGCTCAACTGGTGTGCCATTTCAGAAATGAAGAAAACTTCAGACAAATGTCCTGATCATTGCTTTGCTGGGACACAGTCCAGAGTCGTCTTGTCTCCAGACATTAACAAAAGCAAATGAACTTTGCTTTTTAAGGAGAGCTTTGTAACATACAGTAAAAAGGGAAACCTGGTTCAGTTCAGAGACCTTAGTGATAATTTTCCAGGCAAACTGAGGGAACAGGACTAGAAATAGTCTGTAAGACACCTGCTGGGTATGTGGTTTCTATGAACTCAGGCTTTTCAATCCTTGATTGAATTTGTTTTTAACATTTGTATATGGGACAAAAGTTTGAACTCAGGGCCTTGGACTTGCTAGGTAGGGGTTCTACTACTTGAGCTACCCCTCCAGCTATTATTTAAATCTTAAGCCAGAAAGCTGATCTGGCTTAGTCATATGAGTCACTTCCCTTGAGGAAACAATGTCCTAAATATTTTTGGTCTAAAGTGCTTTCCCAGTTGTAAGCCTAAGTGACCTCCTGTGGTGTGGTGTGGAGAATGAAAAATCAGAAGTTATTATTTCTATATATTGTGGGCAACCTAAGGGCTCAGAAAAGTGAAGCGACCTGCCCAAGATCACACAAATTAATGAGAGAGCCAAGGCCCAGAACTTGAAGTTAGAATCTGTGACCCAGTGTTCTTACAACAGTATCAAGCAAGAGCCAGTGCTTTGTCTGTAACTTGGCCATCTAACCTTTACTCCTCCTGCAGTTTATTATTTGAATCCACTCCTGTCCTCCTATCCACAATAGACCTTGAAATCAAGCTGGGTGCTGGTGGCTCATGCCTGTAATCCTGACTACTCAGAAGGCTGAGATCTGAGGATCTCATTTCTAAGTCAGCCCTGTTAGTAAACTCCTATGAGACTCTTACCTCTAATTAACCACCAGAAAACCAGAAGTGGCACTGTGGCTCAAAGTTAGGTAGAGCACTATTAGCCTTAAACAAAAATGCTCAGAGACAGCACTCATGCCTTGAATTTAAGTCCCATGACCGACAAAAAAAAAAAAAAAAAAAGAACCTGAAAGTCAGATGCATGTGTGAGCTCCCACAAAGCAAAATACAATGCACAATCCCGATATTATATGAAGTGTTATCAGTAAAAATAAACTGCATGTGTATGGTGGAAAATTAAGAGGGAGGTCTTTGTCTTAATCTGTCTGCTCACTGTTTCTCCCGCTCCCATTCATTCAACCCCAGCATTCATTTCAGACATATTCACAAGCCTCTATTATGTGCCTAAGAACGTTGTAGACCCACAAGCAATTCTTGCCCTGGAGGAGCTTAAAATCCAGCTAAGGCATGACTCAGAAACTTATATAACAATACAAAAGGGTATATAAACCCTAGCCCAACAGATGAGACCAGGGGAGTGGAGAACAATTCGTAAGGAGTCCAACACTACACAAAAGTCATCAAAAGTCTTTTGTGAGGACAAAGATCAGCATGGCTGGCATCCTCAAAGGAAGGAGAAAGCCTTCTGTGGCACTGGCAGTGCTAAGTCTTTTTCTGGTTGTTGTTACACTGTATACATATATGGAAACACTCAGAGGTACAAACTTTAGAGTTGTGCACCATGCTTTGTAGCAGTCATACGTCAATTTTAAGGAGTTCAGAAAAGAGAAAAATATTCTCCCCAGGAGTTGAAATTATCAGGGCTATTATGGGGAAAGAGCAGCCATTTGAAGATTTAAATAAATGCAATCCAGTAGTTGTTAGCTCTGGCTGCACTTGAACATTCCCTGAGCAGCCTTTTAGAAATACTGAATTTAGGGCTAGAAGTATAGCTCAAACTGGTAGAGGGGCTGCCTAACAAACATAATGTCCAGAGTTCAAACCCCAATACTACCACCAAAAGAAAAACAGTAAGTCTTGGGTTACACACCAGGGCAACACAGTCAGAAATTCTGGAAACAGAGCTTTAAAGTGGGAATAATTTAAGCCAAGATTGAAAAACACTACAGGTTTAGTCACGATGGTGATCAAAAAAGATACAGTATCTCAATTTACTCTCTGACAAAACAGCCCTGAGAGGTAGTCACACATATTTTACAGATATTATAGGTATTTTACAGATGAGAAAGATGGAATCTTAGATCATACTTCCTGTGCATGGCAAAGGTGAGATTTCATCTGAGATCTTCTAGCCCCAAACCTAATGACCTAAGCCCATATACAACATGGACTGTCAACAGGGCATATCACTTGGAGACGACAGTAAACCTTTTTTCCTTAATTTCATTGGGGTAACAAAAACAGGCTTAATACTGATATGACTCTAATTCAATCAAATTATCATTCTTCTCTATACTCCCCATCAGAATTCCCTGCTTAAATCCCAACATAACACAGAATGAACACCACTACTCCCCAACTTCTGCCATCCTTCAATCCCAAACTATCCCAGGCCTTGGGCCCTAGTTGCTTGATCTTTGTGGGCTATTCCCAATTTTTAGATCTTTCTCCTTTCTTTCCTTATCTTTTCTTTCCCTTTTCGT